CTCCGGCGATCCTTTCGCCTCAGCCTTCCGAGTAGCCAGAATTACAGGCACGCGCTACCATGGCTGGCTGATTTTTTGATTTATTGTAGAGATGTCTCATCAAGTTGCCCAGGCGGGTCTCGAACCCGTGGGCTCAGGCAATCCACTCACCTCAGCCTCCCAAAGCGCGGGATTACAGGCTGAGCCACTGGACCCGGCTTCTGCATTTTTGGCAAGACATTGGGAGGGAACAACTCCTGACTGTGGCTCAGGTTTAAGGAGTGATGTACAATGACTCAGTCTTTGTCAGGCATGACTGTGGGACCAAGCTAACTGGATCTGCTGCAGAGACGCAGAGGGTTGCTTGCACAGCCAAGCATCTGACCTGAAGGTGTTTTGACTGAGAAGCCTTTGGTCACACATGGAAACCTGAAGCAGGGACAGATAGTAGTTTAGATCATATTAATAAAGACGGAAAGTCCAGACTAAAGGAGGTGAGGGCCTGCTGCGCCTTGCCCCGCTGTGAACTGGTTTGAAGCACGTTGCTTGGCTCAGTCAACATGGAGAGATGAGCTGCAGCCCTGGGGTCCCTCTGGGACTGGGGTGACGGGGAGTGGCTGCCTCTGCAGGTGGGGCACAGTCATAGGAGGCTGGCCTGCTGGAGGGGCTGGCTGAGCCAAGGCCTGGCAACTGACCGTGCCACACATGTTGGAATTACAGCATTGTGCTGGGCATGCCTCAGAGGCACTTGGGAGAAAGTGCTTAGGCCCCCCAGAGGCACCAGGGCAGAAACACTGACAGCAGAGAGGCCTGGGGGACAGCCTGGCAGAGGTTGAGGGCGGGAAAGGAGGTGGCAGTGCCTAGTAAGAGGGAAACAGTGCTCTTCATGCCATTGGGGGCAGTCTCAGGAGTCACCTGGCTGTGGGCTCAGGACCACCCATGGTGCGGGGATTTACACTCCACTTGGTAGAGAAGGAAACGGAGATTCAGGGAGGTCAGGTCACTTGCTGAGGGTCACACAGCAAAGAAGTGGGGCTGGGGCCTGCATTAGAAGCCAGGCCTCTCTCTTTGACTCAGGGCCTGCTCGAGGCATTATGGGGATGCCAAGGTGGGCAGTCCCCTGACCACTGCCCCCCGATCCCCAGCCACCACCTGGAGCTAGGATACCCCTCAGGTCCTGATGGCTGGGCTGGGCTCTCAGGACCATCGGGGCCCCAGGGGACAGGCCCGGGCCCTGTGCCCTTGTGCCCCAGGTTTGAATCATCAGGCCTAACCAGCACCCTCAGGCCCCGGCCCACCCTGCTCACAGCCACGTGGCTGACGGGATTTCCGCCATGTTTAGGGCATGAATTGACAAGCGCCCCATTGACGGGGCAGGGGAGGGGTGGGCAGGGCACAAGCCTCCCACTGTGCCGCGTCCCCACCCTCCCGCTCCCCAAGACAATGGCCGAGACTCAGCCA